CACCCTGCCGCAATCACCGCGTTTGAGAACAGAAAGACAGAAGCAGGACTTCGGGCACATATGGTGGCTTTTTCAACATTCTAGTAGAAATTTTGTACCTTTAGGCCACTGCAATTTCACAAGTGAGTTAGGGCTGTTAAGACCAGAGCTATCTCAGGGGGTGTCCTGATGGAAGATGTTTCTTTCTCTGCAGAATGGGTCATTCTTGGGAAATCATGAGGAAAACGTAGCTCGCTTTGCACAGCCCTCACGTTACTTTGCTCACGTGCAGGTGCCTGTATCCGCTCAAAACCTTCCAGGTAACGAGCAGGGGCAAGCGACTGGCTCTGATCCCTTCTCACGGGGCTGTGCTGACCTTTCTCTTGCAGAGCTCCCTGAAGACTGCAGAGGGAGGTGGGAGAGTTTTGTAGAAGAGACGCTGACGGAAACGAACAGGAGGAACACAGTGGATTTGGTGAGGACAGGGATATTGTGCGTATTTCAGACGGGCCTGCCACCTTCCGGACTTTCTTCAACTGAAGAAAAGTTATATTGCGGGGTCGTTCTCTTCTTTTGCATCTTTTTATGGTTTACAAGGGCAGAGTAGAACACATCTTCCGTGTAGTTCTTCAGGCAGCCTCAGCTCTGACACGTTGCTGAACTCTGCTCCTCACGTTTCTGGGTCTGTTCGCTGGGAGAGTTTCTGCCCCCGGGGGAGTTTGGTCTTCGATTGTACGTGCGGAACAGAACTATTTGAGCACTACTTGTGCTTATTCTTTTTTTTGCACTTTGTTCAGGTGAGCACTCACCATCTGCACTCATCCAGCGAGGACGAGGACATTGAGAGCGCGTTCCCCAACGAGCTTTCTCTCCAACAGGTGAGTTCACAACCCGCTCTGCAGCCCGAGTGCGGAGCAGCTTCCTAAATTCTGCTCTCGGTCGGTGTGTTCAGCTCTTTTCTGTTTCTCCAGGGTAGTTACTTAGGTGGTCAAAACTCACACAGGGAATGAATTTGGCTCAGGCTGCACACAGGTCCAGACACAGCGTTTCTGCGAGGTGCTGCGCGTTTCTCGCTCTTTCCCGGGGTCTCTGCACGCCAGGGCTGGGTGGTCCTGAGCTCGCAGAGGTTCCCAGCCCAGCAGGGAGCGCGGAGCCCCAGCCTGCAGCAGAATCGGAGCCCACGGAGGGTTCTGCTTCCTCCTGGGCTCTGCAGACTTCTGCGCAAAGCTGAAAGAGCTGCACTCAAACACGAGCAGTGAGAGCAGTAAAACCCCTTGACTTAGGAAGTTGCAGAGATAATTAAGGGTTCCCTTGCACTTAGCAAAGATCTCAGGATCCTCAAAATTTGATGTACTCTGCTAAAGCTCCAAACAATCAAATATATGGAAGCTGCTTTTCAGGTTGAAGTGTCCAGGCTGGAACCTTTTTTGATGCTGAGAACTTGAAGAGCATTAGCAGGACGTAGGAGTTTCAGCCTGTTTAGCAGGGAACTGCCTCTGGGCAGTGAAAGACAATCTCAATCTGAAATCTAGATAAGGGTGAAAATGAGCCTCCAATGGTTTATAGTTATTTTTGTGTCAAAATAACTGGCTGCTCTGATATTAAAAATACCTCTATTTTCTTCGGCTGATACTTAGAAAGTGCAAAGAAAAATGCATTGGTCTTGTAAACAAAAATAAACGTGTTTGTCAGGCATCAGTGCCAGTACTGCCCGGAGCCTGCAGAGCTCCTTGGGCAGCAACGCGGACACTTGCTGTCACCTGCAGGGAGTCAGCACAAGGTGCAGCTGCAGAGATGCGTGTGTGAATCACTTGGCTGGAGCTGGAGAGGGCTGCCTGCCCGTATCCAGAATTACCCTCCAAACAGGAGAAATTATCAGGGAAAAAACCGCAATGCATAAAAGCAAGGGTGAGATTCTCTTCAGAGGCAGAAGCGATCCTTTTCGTAAGTAGAGAGTGAGGCGTGAAGGTGACCAAGAGGATATCGGGGTAAATGTCGTATTGTATCAGGGGAAAGCAAACAGGTGAAAAACCCCAACGGAGCGTTCTGACGAAGCGGAGGAGTGGCTTTCTGGGAAAAGTCAGAGCTCTCTTTGGAAGAAGTCAAACATCTGACGAGGACTTGCCGCAGTCTGCTTGATCCCCCTTTAAGAAGGGGGTTGGAGGAGATGGTTTCTCAGAGTTTGTTGGTTTTCTGTGATACTCGTGCTCTTTAGACCTTGTGTTTTGAGCCAGCTGAAGCGAGTCTCTGCGACACCTTAACGAGAGCTCTCTCTGGGTTCCCTTGCTCAGGCCTTCTCCGAGTACCAGATCCAGCAGATGACAGCGAACTTTGTGGATCAGTTCGGCTTTAACGATGAGGAGTTTGCAGACCAGGATGATAATATCAAGTAAGTCTGTGACACTTCAAGAGGTTGATATGTAGCATTTGCATCTGATCTTTCTTCTTCTGGTTCTGCTCAGAAAACGCCCCTCGCTGTGTACCTGCTTCCGTTCGGAGCAGAGGACTTGGCAATAGTTTGGAGAACAGATGACTTTTTTCCCCTTTTTGTAGGACTCTACCCTGATCTCCAAGGACAGTTGTAGAACTGAAAGGAGAAGTATTTCTTTGATTTGAAGAGATACGCTTTTCATAAAACACACAATTATTCAGCCATATTCTAGAATAAATTTAATTGCACAGAAAGCAAAGCATTAGAGGGAGCTCTAGGCAATTGTACGGATACTCTCCAGTGGCGTTAAGCCCTTCCTGAAATTAGGGATAGAAAGAAGCGTTCTGATGAAGTCCAGAGAAAGATTTAGCCATTTTCTCTCTTAGGAATAAGGAAACACAAATAAGACAGGAGCAAGTCACAGTTCAGAGAGGGTGGATAGAGGTGGATTTCATGTTACGCAACTTGCTGAGTTCGGTGTTTGGGACTTGTGCTACTCCTGTAAAAGAAGTGCTGTAATTTAATTAAAACTCCAGCTCATCCTCTCACCTTAAAACTTGTACCTAAGGAAGTCACCGGGACTGCAGTTGTCCTGCTGGCCCATAACGGCGGAGAAACTGAAACCGCTCAGTGCGCATCTATTGACAGACGAGCGCTCTAGGAGGAGACCCAGCGTGTTTCCCAGCCCTCGGCTGTCCCCTGCCTCTTCATCCTGCGTCAGTGGTCGGCACGGTCAGAGAAATTATTTGTCCTCCGAGGTGCCGGGGCAAGCGAGCGGTGGCACAGGGACCGGCCTCGGGGCAGCGCAGGTTGGGTCTGCTCTGCAAAGACCTGCAGGGTCCTGGAATCGTGATGGAACAGGACGCTTTGAGCCCGGGACGCTGTGGGCTGCTCCAGGTCTGATTTCTTGAGGATGCTTTTGCTGGTTCTGCTCAGACCAGGTTTTTTTGGCTCCCTGAAATACCTTAAATGAAATAACAATGTGGAAGTAGTTTGGGCTGCTTCACGGTTGCTTTCACACATGGATCAAAGCAGAGAGTCCTGAGATCCTTACGGTCATTGCAGCTCTGGGAAGGAGTTTGCCAAATCACTTGGAGCTGGATTGTAACGTGGAGAGAGGTTCTGGAGTCCAGCTTTCTTACCTTTTTTTGTTTTTTTTTCTTTTTTTTCCCTGCATGTTGTAGATGTCCAGAATTTGAGTAGGGCCAAAGTGTTCCAGATCAGGGAGAGAGTCTACCTGAACGTGAATTACTTAGCTCTACACGTTTTTTCAAAATAAAATACACTTCTCCCTTCTTACCAGGTACCAGCAAATATTAAACTGCTGAATGTGTAGGTGGAGGGGACGAGGTAATTTGTGTGAGGAGCTGCTGAAGGTAGCTCACGTCCGTTTTAAAATGAACACGGAACTGAGCAAGATGAGTAAGTGAGATGTGCTGGCCTTCCCTCTATTTGTCCTTAGAAAAGGAGGAACAGACTGCACAACTGGTTTGGTCTTGAATATTCTGAGGCTGTACCCTGTCGTCTGTTTTCCAGCTGTTGAGAGCTGTCAGGGATAGGAATTTGAATATTTTAACAGGTATTCATCATGTTTCAACATGCTGGTGATTTGCGTGACAGTATTTTGTACTGTCTGAACAGCTGTCTTTAAAAGAAAACCCAGATCGGGTGAAAAAACACCTGAGGAGCCCAGACTGTGGGGGAGGTTGGTGGTTTTTGACCTGCAGCACCCTCTGCTGTTCCTACAACAGACGCTTGGGTCGAGATCTGAAATTGGGTTATCCGGTGATTTTTGCAGCAAACGTGGCTCAGTAACACATCTGGAACGCTGAGCTGCCCTGAAATTCTGTAGTTGGGTTAAAACGGGCAAGCGCCATCCTGGCTGCCCATCGCTCTTTAATTTCCCCTAAGATTTGGTTCGTGTGGAGAGACGCGGTGAAAAACCTGAGGCCAGGCTCCAGAGCTCCTGGGAGAGTTGGGAAATACCAGCCGGGCGTTGCTGTGGCTGGCGTGAAGCCCCGAAATACTGAACCGATGCAGTATCGATCGGGGTCGTTCCTTTGCGTGTTGAGCCAGACCTAAGAATGGAAACCTGAAATAATATTTCGTCTCGGCACGTAACACAGACGTGAATATGGAGGGAACGAGCGCTGGTGGCCTTGAGCGGCCGTTGGGGGCGCCTCTGATCAGCTGCCCTCGGGGCTCTGAAGTGCTTGGTCACTCCGTGCCGTCGCTGAAGTTTCTTTCCCTTCTGTTTGCAGCGCTCCCTTTGACAGGATCGCGGAGATAAACTTCAATATAGATGCCGATGATGACAGCGTGAGTATGGAGTTTGGGGTGTTAATTTAATAGGACAGATTCCTGGCAAGGTTGTGCCCGAATCGGTCATTTTGAAAGAAAAAAAAGGTGAGGCGTGTTATTTTGATCGATGGAGAAGTGTCCTCCCAGCTGAGTCCAGCTGAGGAACTTGGGGCATTCCGTGTAGCCGCAGAGAAGCTCCCTCCAGTGCTGGCTTTGGGGAGGGTGTGAGCAGTGGTTGCTTTGCGCTGAAGGAATCCCCCCTCGTCAACCCATTGTCCTGATTTTCATGGCTTCATCTTGCCTTTTCTGTTCCATTGACCTCAATTAATACTCGTCGGAGACGCTGCACAGTGGCTAAAAGAGGGGATTCCGGGCTCATCTCCTGGTCTTCTCCTTGTTTTCGGCAATGCTAAGTTCGACTTAGGTTTCCTTAGTATTAAAATACTTATTCTTTCACTTGAACAGTACAATGAAGAGTTTCTTCTCTCTTCTGGCCACTCCAGGCAGAAAGTGGTCACGCTGTGCATCGTTAGGTTGAGATACTTAGAACTTAGTCCTGCCTTTGTATTTGGAGAGGGGGAACTTGAAAGATGAAGGGTGGTAGACAGAATATTCTTTTCCAAATATTAAGTTCCAAGCTGCCCGGTTTGCAAGCGTGTTCTTCCTCTCCTGCCCTGACTTTATACCCGCGGGCAGGAGTTGCTGCGGCCGGGGAGCGGCGCGGGCTGAGCCTCCGCGAGGGTGGTTCTTGCTGTCGCTGGAGCTCTTGTTTCTGTCTCCCGGGAGTGGACGACGTCTGATTTCTTTTTAATATTATTTTAGCCCAACGCTTCCCTCTTTGAAGCCTGCTGCAACGAGCGGATCCAGCAATTTGATGATAACGAGGAGGAAGAGGATATCTGGGAAGAGAAGGAGATAACCTATGCAACCCAAGTTAAATCAAGAACACGGTAAGGTGAAAACAAAACATCGATTTTTTTTTACTGTATTTCAGTTAAGTGCCTGTGTAGCTGTTTGTTATTTATGTGCCGTGAGGCCTTTTTCTGGCATAAACCAGAGTGCTTTCCATGTCACGTGTCTGCAAAAGGAGGTGGTGGCTTGTCTTGAGTGTGAAACAAAGATCCAGTCTGAGGGAATGCAGGTGTGATGGAAGCACCTGATTGCTGAGTCGGTTGGCAAAGGTATGGCAGAAAAAGCACCCTTAGTTTGAGAGACTTAGAACTTGGTCCTTCCTGCGTATTTGGAGAGGGGGAACTTGAAGGATGAAGACAGAACATTCTTTTCCAAATATTAAGGAAGGGAAAGTAATGTTTGGCCTGAGACCGAGTGACCTCCCGTGGTGCGTCTCTGGCATTGCAAATCACAATTCTTCATCCCTTTGATGCAGTCAGTTATCAGATAAAGTTATTTCTACCTGAAAGTATGATTGAATGAGACAGGAAAAACGGGCAAGGCCTTAACGCGTACGTGCCATGCGCCTGCAAACGGTGGTCCTGCTCACGCGCAGAATCGAGAACCACATCAGCGCTCCCCTCGTTTGCGAGTGTTTCATATCAGCCTCTGCATTTCCCACGACAGCTCTGCGGCTGCGTTTTGACCAGTAGAGCACGTCGGGACTTGGGTGGAAACATCCCGGGGAGGGCCTGCTGCTGGGGGTCTGTCGGGGCAGTGAGCCCGCGGAAGGCGGTGGCGCTGGGGCAGCTCGCTGGCCACGTTCTCCCCTGGGGCAGGTGAGGGGTGAGCTGGCTGCTGGCAGGGTTTTTCTAATTCCGAGTCTTACAATTTAGATTTGGAGCATCTCAGACCTCGGAGAGTTCATCGAAAAGCGATCTTGAGAACGGAGATCACGATGGCAGCGTGGACTCCGAGGAAGAGGAGGAAACGGAGCAGCAGCCGCCTTCTTCCTCGGCAAACAACAACAAGAGTAATGTTTCTGAGCGGAAGGACTCTGACGCCTCTGAAGGTAAAGGATTTAAAACGGCATCATCCCGTCTGAAACGAGCTCTGCAGTTGTCTCCCTGGGGATGGCAGTTTGCAAGCGGACGGGTTCCCGTGGCTGTTCTGTAATGCCGCCTGCGCTGATGAGGAGCGTGAATGTCGGGCTTCAGTTTTTGCCTCTGGAATGTTCACAAGTGTGAGCCCTGCCCGGCTTCCTCACAACAGCAGCGTGGTGCTTCGGTGGCACTCAGCAGCACAGGGGCAGTGGCACAGCTAGCCCCGTTAGCACAAATACTAACGAGCAAAGTCTTTGCGCGGGATCCTGGCGTTAACTCCTCAGGTTATATCACAGGAGTTCCGTGCAGACTCTTGCCAAGGATCTCTGCCCTGCATGGATCTGCCCTTTCTGCCCGATCGCCGTTCTTGTTTCGTTTGCGTGTTGCAAACCCCTTCGCGCAGCACCCGGGGGAAGACTCGCGGAGGGATGAGGTTTTCCCAGCTCACGGTGCAGATAGTGCCAGGGAAGGTCATGACACACGCGGTCTCGTCAGCAGGAGAAATTCAGTCAACTGAAATAGAGACGAGAATGCTTGCCCGAACATTCGCTTCTCGTTTGGTGCAAGCATTTTCAGTTCTGAGATGTTCTTTTTCCAGGTGATGTCTCTGTGCTGTAACTACGAGCACAGAGCGTACTTACCCCAGTAACGGGCTCTCTGCACCCGTTTGGTAGTGTCAGATATTTTCAATTCCTGTTAGGAAGAACCAGTAAAACGCCACAAACCAGCAGCCTGTGGAGAGTCCCCATCAGGTTGGAATCGTAGAACCACGGAAGGTTTGGGTTAGAAAAGACCTTTAAGCTCATTGAGTCCAGCCCTTAACCCAGCACTGCCAGGCCCACCACGAGAGACTGGGGTTCAAGTTTTTCTTCAGTTTTTGAGTGAGTGTAGACTTGGTGGATCTCTCATACTCTTGGTTTTGTCACGTGCAAATCCACTCGCCCAACGGAGCTCTGCCGTCCTCTCTCTTTCTTGGGAAAAGGTGGTGAAAAATGCTTTTTTAAAATGGGTGATTTGTAGGAATAGGAGTGTGTTCTAATGAATAAGAGTTAAGCTGGGACTGTAAAAAAACAAATTATGTTCTTAGTTTTGCTCAAGGTCACTTCTCTGATCTTAAACTTTTTAATCTGTATATCAATTCCTTACCTGCAATTGCCAAAATTTAAAAAGTTAGTGATTGAAATGGTTGAAAGCCGTGCTGCTCGATGTGTGACACGGAACTTAAGAGTTCCGCTGAAAATCCCTGGCTCAGAGAGTGACGACATCCCAGTGAAGAGATTCCCGGTGCCATTTTTCTCAATTGGTGCTTCTCTCTTGTGAGTAACGCTGGTATTTATCGGCAGAGGGATCTTCAGGCTGATGGTCTGTAAGCTGTGAGTCGGGCGGCAGCTTCCTGCAGGGGTTGAGGGGAGTGCCACCGCAGAGTCTCTCCCGTGTTCTGTTCCCTCTGGCATCACTTTGGAATATTTTGGGGATGCCCCAGCCTTCTGAGAACTGACAAGACTTCTGCTCCGTTGCTCTGTGTCGACAGGGTCGGGATGGACGGCCGTGTTCGAACCGGTGAGCTCGAAGCCCCCCACGCCCTGCGTGGCCATGGACGTGGGGTCGAGCGTGTGGGACTCGGCAGCCCCGGAGAACGCCGCGCCGGAGGAGAAGGGATGGGCGAAGTTCACGGACTTCCAGCCTTTCTGTTGGTAAGAGGCACACGGTCTTGCCATTTCGTTATAACTTGTGCGTGAAAGAAGATTTGAAATACGGGTTGATGGAGGATGTTGACTGTAATCTTCTCTTCCCTTTTCCCTCCCCCTGCTGCCCCCTTTATTTCTGAGTATTGTATTGTGGAACATCCTTCCCTTTGCCTTCCAGCGCTGCTGCCTGGTGTTAGCGTATCATATCATATCATGTCGTGTCATGTCATAGACTGGCCTAGGCTGGAAGGGACCTTAGAGATCATAGAATCATAGAAATACCTAGATTAGAAGAGCCTTTAGAGATCATGGAATCCTAGACTGGCCTAGGCTGGAAGGGACCTCAAAGATCATTTAATCCAACCTCCCTGTCATAGGCAGGGACGCCCCTCGACTAGATCAGGCAACACATGGGGAAGCTTTATGCATCATCGCTACTGCTACACTAAGTGTATAAAATTATTAAATGAAGGTGTTTTGGAAGCGAAGTACTTACGTAAAGGAAGAGTAATCCCCAATGCCTTCTTCTGCTGGGGTGTTGGGAGCACGGCGAGGTGGCTGTGCTTCCTTCTCAAGGCTTGTTTCCCCCCTGCTTCAGCTCGGAGTCGGGTCCGCGGTGCAGTTCTCCCGTCGACACGGAAAGCACCAATTCCGATGGAAACACCAAGCAGAGTCAGGACAAGAACTGTAAGTGAGAATGTTACAGGGCGGGACAGACGTATTATTTAAGCTGTTTGAAATTCTGTGTAGCTCGGGAGAACTTCCCTCGGGTGCCGTGTGCCTTCTCTGACTTGCAGGCTCTCTCTGGTACAGAGATCCCTCTATTAAAATAGGAACTCAGGAATCCTAAATGATTGTTGCGATAATACCCAGCAAGAAAAGAATGAAATTTAAGTTAATGAGAATTAATGGCACAGAGATTATTCATTTGTAAACAGCTCGAAAGTCCTCTTTTAGCGGCGTGCTTGATTATAAAATCACTTGCCAAAAACTAGAAGGACAGGGTAAGTTATGTTACTGGTAATTGTGCCAATCCTCCAAATGTTTAGCTGCTTAAATTACAGCACAGCAAGTTCTCAGAGCTCAGCTGAGTTAGCAGGGACCCCTGAGACTGCCTTAATCCTCCAGCCAGAGTTACCGCCTTTCAGCTCGTGAAGAAAATGGTCTGCTCTGCTGTTGGTATTAAGCACAGACAGGAGGTGGCGGGTGAAGAACGCTGCTTCATGGGAATGTTGTAGTTTTTTTTCCTAAACTGCAAAAATAATATTGTGTGCTGTGGGATCTGCACAGAAACCGTCATCTCAGAATTTGTCGGAGTTGTAAACGCTCCCTTTGACACCACCCAGCTTACTCGGGGTCGTGCCTGGGGACTCGTTCCTGTGGCCTCGTTCATTTTGCAACGTGAATTATTTGTCTCCCTCAGTCAGCGCTTCCTCTCCCTGCGTTTGGAACGTCTGCGTCACGAGGAAAGCGCCGCTGGTGGCCTCGGACAGCAGCTCCTCCGGAGGCTCCGACAGCGACGAGGAGGAGGATAAAGCAGATACCGTCACGGAAACCATCAGCACGGGCTCGGGCCAGGAAACCGTCAAGCTGACGATGGATGCTAAAAACGAGAAGGCTGTTTTCACCAGGTGGGGAAGGAATCTCCTCGGGGGGGCATCAGCCCCCTGTGGTGCGTGCAGGGGGTGAATCCGTTGCTTTTTCCTTCTGGACGCTGCGGTTCCAGACGTCCCGTGTGAGGATGCTTTCTCGTCACAGGGGTTTTGTTCTAAGCAAATATTTATGACAGGTTTATTTTAAGAAACGTGCCTGGCTCGTTTTAGCCACCGAGCCACGTCATGGAAGCGTGACCTGTCTGTCTGTCCGCACGAGAGCCGCACGACCATGGCAGGGACGCCGGCTCAGGTCACCCAGAAGAGTCGAGCAAAGCCTCACGGGAGGGCGAGTGCAAGGTCTGGCAGGGGAGAGAGTTAAAGGACTCAAGCTGTCGTTTTCCCTCATTGTCAGGGTAGTGTGTTATAGGCAACAGAGGATAAAAAATTCAAGATGCCAGAAGGAGAGCAGACGCTGAGATTTGTGAGCTTTTGGGCAGCAGCTCGGTTGGGATTGCACGTGCCCCAATCTAGCCTACTTGTCATTCGAGTGAAAAACTCGCTTCTCAAAACAGCGAGGATCTAGTTCGCTTCCGTGCACCCAGAAGTGTTCCCCAATATAAAGCTGAATTTTTCCCTCATATTCCGTACGTAGGGTAGGATTTACCCAATTGGAGTCCCTGTATCCTACGCACCTGTCTCAGGATCAGGATTTACTTTTTATAATACTGTGGTTGTGCGACTTCTTTGGCTGGTCAGCCTGAGCTGCTCGGCTCGCGTACACACGAGGTAAAAAGCAGCAGCTCAGAAAACAAGGGGGACTAGAGAACTCAGCAGCCGTAGGGGAGGCCGTTAACCAAACCACAGGTACGGTGAGTTGGGCAGCGCTGTTTTTAATAGCGCGACTGGGTTTTATTTTTGGTGTCCACCTCAGATGGCCTTTACTCCCCTCATGCTTGAACTGAGTGAGGTGTCCGAGATGTCTTTGCTCGCAGCGATTGCACCTGAGGAGCTGCCTTGCTGGCCGCAGGTGGGGGCAGCACGCCAAGCAGGCTGACTTCAGGAAAATGGAAGTTGAGGAAAACAAGAACGCTGCCTGCTGTGCTAAAAGCAGCATCTCCTTCTCCAGTTTTCAGTTTGCTTGAGTAATAGCTAATTAAATCCATCGGCACGTGTGTCTAGAGCAACTCTGTGCTCCAGATGTTTTTCCTCTCTGAACGTGTGGTGTGAGTAGAGTAATCCTGCCCGCGTGGCTGGCTGGGTTCACGGGAGCTCTGTCAGCCGTACTTGGCCCCCATCTATTTCCTAGCAGGTGGGAATTATTTTGTGTCTGACTTGGCTGGGCTATACTGCTGCGTCAGGCGGCGTCATTCTGAACGTCGATTTTCTCTCTGACTATATCTCGAGCACTTTCAATAAGGGCAGGGCTTACAGAGCCTGCTTGGGTTTACATGGCTGCGGTTCCACAAAACTAACTCTGTTTTGGCCAGGAAGGTAAATACATGAATAACCACCGTCTCCGCTCTAAAGGTGTCTGTAGCTTTCCACAACTAGCCACAAATCAAAATAGAAACTGTGGGGAAAACAGAGACCTGTTACAGAGACGGTGGCTGCAGCTGCTCCAGGTCTGTTCTGCAGCCCGTGAGAGTCTGTCCTCACCAGTGATGGTCACGGAAAATTCCTGGTGTCCCCGAACCGACCCCCCTTCTTCCAGAACAGGAGCAGTTAAACAGCCAGCAGTAGCTGCATTCATTTCTTGCCTCATTCCTTAACAATTCCAAGGAAATGAAACGTGCTGAAGGTTTAAGAATATTTTGCATTGACTACGTGTTTCTTGCTGACTTTCTACAAGCACCTCCCCAGAAGCGTGAAGCTTTTGCCAGAGCACATTCCTGTTCCTACAGAAACGGGTCTTCCCTCTCCTTTTTTCCCCTCCCTGCGGTGCTGAAACCCGCAGCCGATCTTTCATACTCCCTGGAGCTCCCCGGGGGCTCTGTGGGTCTGTGATCACTAAGGTCATGAAAGCTCCAGATGTTACGGCACGTGCCTCCAGCTGTGGCAAAAAAAACCCCCGTGACCCCCGCCTCGCCTGCTGCTGCTTCTCTGCCTGCCCGGACCACCCCAGAATTCAAACTCTGGAAAATCCGTGATTTCTCCTTGCACAGCTCAGTAAAACATCCCTCCGGAGAGTTCTGCTTAAACTGCAGTTGAGAATTGGCTGCCTTGAACGGGCAAAAGAACAGGTGGTTTTAGCTGATTTCTCTGCTTTAAATGTATTTAGCTAAATTCCTATCTAATTCTATAGGGCAGTTTCTTGAGAAAAATAAAAAAATCAAGTAGTTTTGCAGAAGTTCTCTGACTGAAGAGCTTCCAGGGTTGCCGATCCGCACCCTTCAGTCACTTCAGAATGTGTGTGTTATAGGCTTTGAGAAAGAGGCTTTTCATGGTGTATCAAATCTGCTTTTTTTTGTTTGTTTGTTTTGTGTGTGTGTATCGATCTGAATTTTATGTGGAAAATGATTGTACTCGTTGAAATAATTTCTAAGTGCTCGTGTGTGTTCCCCCAGCAGGAACACCGCAGAAGTTCCCTGACTGAAGAGCTTCCAGGGTTGCCAAGCCTCACCCTTCGGTCACTTCAGATTGTGTCTGTTAGGCTTCGAGAAGGATGCTTCTCACGGTGTATCAAATCTTCTGCTTTTTTTTGTTTGTTTGTTTTGTGTGTGTGTATCGATCTGAATTTTATGTGGAAAATGATTGTACTCGTTGAAATAATTTCTAAGTGCTCGTGTGTGTTCCCCCAGCAGGAACACCGCCTGAGGATACGGTTGCCCAGTTAACTCTTTTGTCTGTTTTTGCAGCAATCTTTACTGTTTCCTTTGTCTTCCTTTCTTTGCTCTCTCTCTGTTTCTGCCTCTGCTGCCTTTCTCTCTCGCTGCGGGTGTTGCTCAGAGTATTTAGACCGGCAGGCGGAGGGTACGTATGACGGTGACCTTCTCAGGGTTCCAAACATCCACCTGACAAGTAGTTTCTCCCACAAGTTACTGCACGCTGAGCTGGCAAAAAACGAGCGCTTGGACTGGGAAAGCTCATTTTTTTCACAATTGGTTGTAACAGATCCTAGAAATTGCATTTCAAAACCTGAATTAGAGGTTGCACGTGATCCTCGGAGAAAGTACGTGCACGGTCAGCATCGCCCTGGACGAACCATTAAAAAGCAAAGAGTTTTAGGTAATTTCACACAATTCCCTTGAGCTTCTGCCGTTGCACCTGTTTGTGAGCTCATTCTATAAATAGCATTTTTTTAAATTACTGTTATTTTAAAAGACAAGTTCGGCCTCTGGTCAAGAGGGCTCTAGGCAAGCCGTGCTGACGCCGCTTGCTGTTGCGCCTGCTGCTGGAACTGCCGCCGGTGTCGGGTGGGATCCTGCTCAAGTCTCTTGAGACTTTCTCACAACAGCACTAACAAATATTTTTACTTCCATGCTGTAATGGGCTGTAAAATAATGGTCGATGTGTTTCCCAAAGGCTTTTTTCTTTTCTTTCTTCATTTTTTTCCCCTGATGCTTTCTTTCTGGTTTAAGTTATGGGTTTTTCCTAATTATTTTCTGGAATTCATCCACTGAAATGAGTTTTCCCAGTCCCCGTGCACACTAGCAAGACTTTGCTCTAATTTCTGAATGAGGTCAGAGACAAAAAGAGAAATTCTCTGTAAGCAGAGCGTCTCCTGACTGTTGTCTGAAGAGGAGTGTGTTGGGGCAGACGCCTGAACTGTCGGGGCTGAGATGATCCTGGGGAAGAGCAGACTCTGGGGGGACCTTGTAACCGAGAGGAACCTGCCGGGAGGCTGGGGAGGGACTTTGGACAAGAGTGTCCAGCGACAGGACAAGGGAAATGGGTTTAAATGGAAGGAGAAGGGGTTTAGGCTGGATCTGGGGAAGAAATTGTTGAGTGCGAGGGTGGCCAGAGTCTGGACTAGATTGCCCAGAGAGGCTGTGGCTGCCCCCTCCCTGGAGATGTTCAAGGCCAGGTTGGATGAGGCCGTGAGCAACCTGGGCTGGTTCAGGGCGTCCCTGCCCATGGCAGGGGTGGGTCAGATGGTCTCTGAGCTCCCTTCCAACCTGGGACATTCTGTGGTTGTATGATTTGGGTTACACCACAGCAACACAGTGCTGCAGCACCTAGCAGCACTGTGGGATCCTGCCCTGACCCCTGAGGACAGGTTGGGGACCAGCAGCTCAGCACCTGCCGGCAGCTACCGGGGCCTTTGAGGGTTCTGTGGGGTATTTGAAATGTGATTACGACATGTACGTGTTTAACTCATCGTTTTAATAACTAACAGTGGTGCTTCAACAAACACACCAAAGTTTCCTGCCTCTGCCATCGGCAGGCGAGGCCGCGGTGCCGTACCCGCGGGAGGTGCTGCCCGGCTGGGCGCTCTGCCAGAGCAGCGCAGGGACCCCCGGCTCTTCTTGCAGTTTGACCAAGATGAGGCTGAGGGGGGCCCTCATCCTGCTCTACAGTTACTTGACA